AAAAAATTTGAGATAATATCATATGAGCCAAAAGAATTTAATGAAAAATCTAAGTAAATAAAAACTTTGAATTTGATCATATCAGACTGAAGAATTCGCGGTGACGCCAATGTTTTGATTTCAATTTTCACATTAAAAAATACCTAAGTAAAATTTGTCTAGTTTTCCTTGTTTGCCTTACTAATTACAAATGATGATCATTATTTTTTACTGGTAGAAAATTCATGAGCATAAAAAATTCGTAGTAAAGTCTTCACGACCTTGAGATATATAGCGACCAATCTAATAACATTTGTTGATTACTTATATTATTAAAAATTTTAGACGATCATTATTATTCAAACAATCTTTTACCATATGAGAAAAAATCATAAGAAGCTGAAGAATTCGCGTTTATAATAGTTATTATAATTATTATCCCTTATTTTCCAGGTTGTTGGCACAGCTGCGGAACTGAAGCTGAAGGTGAGCAGCGAAACGGCTGGCCGCTACTTCTGCAAGGCGGTGGTCAACGGATTTCCCGAGATCGGAGCCGAGGCCACGGTCTATGTGAAGAGAGCCCCCATTATAACATCGCACAAGGTCCAATTCGGCGGTGTTGGTGGCCGCGTTAAGATCGATTGCCTGGCCTTTAGTATACCCAAGGCGGAACATATCCTCTGGTCGTTCGAGGGCAAGATCATTAATATGAGCAGTGCCGATCCGGATATATACATATTCGAGGAGCACCATTTGCCGGAGGGCGTGCGAGCCGCACTGATTATCAGAGACAGTAAGGCCACTCATTTCGGGAAGTACAACTGCACGGTGATGAATTCGTATGGCGGTGATTCATTGGTGATAACACTGCTGCGAGAACCGGGAAATATACCCGTACCACTGGTCGTAATGGGCTCCATGTTCTGCGTGGCCACCATCCTGATGATCGTGATGATTATTATTGTGTACAGAAAGCGGCGGAGCAGCAAGAAGCCAATGCCGGCTGATGTCATTCCAGAGGCGTCACGCGGCGGGGATAAACTAAACGAACTGAAGAGTGAGCTGCGATCGAAGGCCTATGATGTGGAGTATTCGGAGGCAGGGGGCGATGGTCTGGCCATCAACCTAACTCAATCCCCAATGCCCGATGTCCAGATGAAGGGCGCCACACTGGGCGTTCCACTCGCCGGACCCGTGAAGTTCGATGAACGATTCTCGGGCGATTTCGGTGGCGATCGCTACAATCGACAGTGCCACATCAAGAATCTGAAGAATCAGCAGGAGACGGCCTACAAGGGCAGTCCCCAGGCCAATGGCTATGCCCACTACTTTGAGTATGCCCTCGATTATAGTCCACCTGGCGAGGGGGCGGCCGTGGTGGTGGGTGGCGGTGTTGGTGGCGGTGTCGGTGGTGCCAAGGTCAAGAACGGTGGCATGAACTCGGCCACGCTGCCCCACTCCGGCGCCTCTGTGAATGGGGGCGGTGCCGGCAATGGGGGCGGGGCCAGTCTGCCACGCAACCAGCGACACGAACTTCAGCAGTCCCAGCAGGCAAACGGATTTCTCGGTGAGTTAATTTCTAAATTTATTTATTTTCGTTAAAGAAAAAAGTGAATAACACTCCCAAAAGTACAACACAAAATATCGTTTTAAATTATCAGGTTATTTCTATTTATAAAAGTCAAAAGACGACCTTCTATGTATTAAAGCATACTTTTAGACAGCAAACCTCTAACAATTTGTAGAGCAACACACGAAAAAAAATTAGTTGTAAAGGTCTCTTAAAGTAAAAACCAACATATCTTATTGAACAGTGCGGTAGTCCTTAATATAAGATCCAATAGAGGAAGTTATGTATACTAAAGCATACTTTTGGGCACCATTTTTAAGATGTTTTAAATCTCATGAGGTTTACAAAGAAGCATTTTTAACGGTTATTCTGTCTCTATGTAAGCGGTTAAGTATTTGAAATCCGAAAGATGATTTTTTTAATCACAGCCTACTTTTCGACACCTTTATAAGTTATCTAGAATAATCATATACACATTTTTTATAAAACTAATGGAATTTCTGGACGTTTGCAGGACAACCGTTACTTCAAAACGGCATCGACAGCCGATTCAGCGCCATCTACGGTAATCCCTACCTAAGGACGAACTCCTCGCTGCTGCCACCCCTCCCACCGCCCAGTACCGCCAATCCGGCGGCCACGCCCGCTCCGCCCCCCTATCATGCCGCCCGCCACGGCCACGCCCACCATGCCAATGGTGGGCTGAAGCATTTTGTGGGCGGGGCGGTGATTACAACGAGTCCCGTTGGGAATTTGAATGGCGGAGGCGGCGGGGGCGGGGGCAGTTCGACGCCCATTGGCGGAGGGGGCGTGGCAGCGGGGGGCAGCGTTAGCGGTAGCAGTTCGAATTTAACCGCCAGCAGTAATACCCTGGCGGCCACGCCCCTAGCGGGCGGTGGCGGAAGCAGCGGCCAGTGTGCCCAGAGTCCGTCCGGGCAATTTATACTGTCCAACAATGGAAAAGGACATACGCAAAAAGGACCTCTGGCCACACACGTTTAAATAGAAATATTACCCGCAAAAACTGGCAAAGGCAGAAAATGATATACATATACATAAAGCATTAGCATATCCCATGAATGTATTAAAAAGCAGAACTTCTAGTGTGTAACCATAATTTTTTTTGTCAAAAAATATTAGCGTAATTCTGGCTCAAGTGGTGTTAACTATTTTCAAAAGGGTCTGGCAAAGGATAACCAACTTCTATAAATATCATGGCTGAAATTTTAGCACTAAGGACGATTTTTTTTTTTTTGTAAATTTGTATCGTACAGACCCCAAGAAAATGGTTAAAATTCCTTAAGTAACCATGAAAATATATGTAAAAAATAGAAAAGAAAACAAAAACCGTATTGTGATTTATAGCGTTAATTATTTTATGGCAAAGCTCGATGAGTTTTGGAACAGCAAATTATATCAACTAGTGCAAATCTTAAGCTACTTATCGAGTAAAAAAATCGTATATCAATTAAACACGAAACGTATCGAAAAGAAATGAAACAAAATCATAAACCAACTACAAAACTTCAAAAGTTAATTTTAAACAGCGAGTTGCATACAATTTTAAACAAAACCCGAAATCAATTCAATTAAATAGAAACATAATTATAACATGCCTGTAGTTAGTTTCAAATAAAAAAAAAGGAAAATAAAATGCAAAAGCAGCAAGCAAAAACAATTTTCTAAGCCAAAATTTATCAAATTTTTAGACTTAAATATATATAAATATGAAACATACGAAACAAAATGAATGCAGTGAGAGAAACTTTAAAACTAAGTGCTGTATTTGACCTGTGACCCGGTCAAGAAAAGCCAAAAGTAAATGGAAAATTAAAACCTAAAACCAACCTTTATATTTTATCCTTATTTTTTTGCAAAAAAAACTTTTTTTTCATTAATACGGGATGATACAGTATTAACACAATTAAAAAGATCCCCAAGAAACAGAAACACTTGATAAAAGAATGGCAAATTTGTCAAAATATTATTATTTCATATAAATAAAAAAAAACCGCCATTATAGTTACCAATTTAAAACTTGATCGGGTTTCAAGGTTCACAGCATCCAGCATCCATGTGAAAACTTCAATATTTTTTGCGTAGACTTTAAGCGAGTAAATGAAAATGAAAATTAAATCAATTATGTAAAGAAACAAATGGAATACTGTATATCGTATATATAGAGCATAAATGTGTATGTCAACGCTTGAATTAAATGACTAGCTAAGATTAGAGAGAGTGTTTGTTTTTTTTTTTGTCTGCCTAGAGGTTTAAGCCTATTTATAAACGTAAAAGAAAAGTACATGTAAACAATTTTAAACGTAAAAAAGAAAACTTAAAAAAGCTTAGCAACAATTTGTAAAACATTTGAGCGATCTACCAAAAAAACGCAACTAAGTGTAAAGCGTAAAATTTTTAACACAAAATGCTGCCTTATGATTCCTTGTTGGGTTCTTAATTCATTAAGCCAATACTGTAATTACATTTTTTTTTTAATATACACAAATATACATATTTATCTAAAGTAATACAGAAAATGCTTTAAATGTTCTTCATTTATCCTGATTTATTCACTCGAATCTATTTCTATTCTTTCCTTGGCCCATTTGCGCAGAGCTTTTTAAATGGAATAACGTTCCGAAAATCGGAAATAAAGATGGTGTTACATTTTTTGGATAATTGTCAAACGATTCAATTAAAAGTTCAATTACATAGACGTTACAAAAAAAAAAAGATACAAGACAAAAAAAAAGAAAATTCAAATGAAAATCCTATTAAGCCAAGTAAATTATGATAAATGCAAGAAATGTGTATGTAAAGTGCAGAATGCAGAGGAAACGGTTCAGAAAATGAAAACTAAGAACGTATTGCGTGCAAAAAGAAAAGAAAATGAAAATTTAACTTAAGTCGAGAACAACTCAAATTAGTTGAAATAAAAAAGCGAGAAAAAAATGAAATAAAATATTTAAAAATGCTAAAAAAAATTAACACTTTTACTCGGGTGGTGGGTTCAAAAATTTTGAAAACAATTGGAATAACTTAATTTAAAACAGGCATTGTTTCAAATATTTTGTGATTTTACGATATATATACTGCAAATTAAATTGGCAAAATGCCCGACTTTTTGCATTTTTTTCAAACCCGTTTGCAGGAACGTAATCAAAATTATAATAATAATTAAATTATAAAGTATGAATATAGTTAAGTGTTTTTCAGTGATTTAAAAATGTGAATACAGATTGAGGTTGTTTTTCATTGAATCAACAACTGGAGAACCAGATTTCAACCTTTTCAATTCATTCACGCATACGCTTGAAACCCATTTCAATCATTTCTAAAATCTATATATTTTTATATCGAATAAATTACATTGTTCAGCTTTAATATTTAAATTAAATGCAAAAATCATCATAATCAATACAAAACATATTAAATGGCAGGATTTATTTTGAATATGTCTTCTTAGGGTCTTAGGGGTGAACAACGAAACTAAAATGTATTTTTTTCAATTTCCAATGGCAGAGTATATAAAAATATGATCAATTTTTGCCATATTATTTGCTCATAACCAATAGTATTACTTAGAATTATGAGAATGTCTTTGGGTTTTGATTTCAATTTTTTATGGCGACTTTGAAGCCTTAAACAGGAGGTCTTGATTCTTGGGAGAGTCTGGAGACTCTAAGTTCAGTTGCTCATCGAACTCCTCAATATCTATGTAAGCATCTAGGAGCCCTTCCGATTCAACCCAATCATCCAGGGAGTTCGGTAGTGCAGCACCAAGAGTCATATTAGCGAAAGAGGTCGTGAGATCATCGAAATCAATGTTACGCCGCGGGGTATCATTGTCTACATCGCAGTCGAGAAGCCGTTCCGCAGCCCTACTTTCTTCACCTAATTTCGAGGAAGATGCCTCCGACTTCAGGCATTCCGTTTCCTTTGAGGGTGGAGATTTTAACTTCCTCTCTTCCGACAGCCGCACCCAGTTCTTCCAAGTACGCGATGAACACGTCAGATCGGGATCGTATAAATCCACATATTTCATACAAATGGGCAATTCGGTGAAAGGTGGCGACGGTACTAAAATCGGGGCATTAATGGTTTGAATTATTTATCTAACTTACTAAAGATGGCTTACCACGACGAGAGGAGTTGAGAAGAGGTGTCGGTTGTAAGGATGCATTTATCTCTGGATCTTCTACAGGCATTGGGGCCCTAAATAGAAGAAAAGCCATGTGTTAAAAGTACGGAAGGCATTCTGGCTGTTCAGCTTTAAAGGAAAAGATATGCCGTTCTTACCTGTCAATAGGCTCTACTGGTTCAGATAGGCGTATGCGCTTGCTCTTGGGCTGCGTTGTCTTCGTGTTTCTATCCATTATGGCAGGACAAGTGTCTACAAGTGCCTCAACCCAATTGTATTAATTTCAAGAGGCGATCTAAATTTTAAGCCGTCAACTTTTTTCACTAAATATATCAGGTTGCTGCGTTAGCAATTGTCGTTCGATAAAACCTATCTGCTGAAAACCAGAGTTGTCACTCTATTTCCTTAAATATCCATGATAATGATATCCTGATAATGAAAAACAAATACTACGTGTGTGTACTTTCGAAAAAATTTAAAGCTGACCAAAACTGTTTGAAAATTCAGCAAGAGACCTTTAGGGTCTTTCCCTCAATTGCCACAATCTGTTGAATTTTCAACAATTTAGCAATTCAACAGCTTAGTGAATACCCAGGATATAAATTAATGCCTAACATTATTTATAAGTTAATAAAAACTTAAATATACTTTCTAAATTGATTTTAAAACAAATATTGCTTACTGACGATATTAAAATGTTTTATAGTTTTCATGGCTTTTTAAGGAAGTAGGGTGACAACTCTGGCTTTCAGCAGATAGGATTTATCGAACGACAATTGCTAACGCAGCAACCTGATAAATTTGTTGATAAAGTTGACGTCTGACAATTCAGTTCGACATTTGATATTAGTAAAACTGAGATTGTAGACTTGTCCTGCATAAATAATTTTAAATCGCACGATGCCACGTCGCTCCAAAGTCGAATTTTGTACTCCCTCGATTCGGGATAGGCCTGGCGTATATTCATCGGACGAGGAGGACGGGGAGTTTATGAAACTCTTGTTCAGCGAAGAAATGATGAAGATAATAACTTCGAAAGTTGGTAAGGATGAAATAATTCAACCGTTTTGAACTTTGGAAACCCGGGGAACTCTGAGCCCATGCGCATGCGCAGCTAATGTCACTACCAAGTTCATCTAGGATGCCCCAATAATGGCACCACAGTGTGAAGATGACCCCATATTTCCGCTCCAACCGCCAATACGCACGATTCTGCCCGTCTGTCTGCCTGTCCGTCCGTCCGTATGAATGCTGAGATCTTGAAAACTATAAGAACTAGAATGTTGGGATTAAGCATGCAGATTCTTGGGCTTCCTGCGCAAGCGCAGCGCAAGTTTGTTTCAGCAGGGTGCCACACCCACTCTAACGCTCACAAATGCTCATAGCACTAAACCCGTCTAGCGCCCAGAGTTTCTCACATTTTGATCTATTTTGTAACCCACTTAGGTTCGGAATTGGAAGAAGAAGGCAGCAGTGGCCTGCTGAACTCGGTGACCACCAGCACGAACTCGCAGGTGGTGAAGGATGGCAACAGCCAGGAAGCGGTCCCCCAGAGGGACCGGGAGCCAACGCCGGCGGCTTCGGGGGCATTGGTGCCAATTCGGATGCCAATGCCGGTGGATTCGGAGTCGGCGGTGCTGCCAATACGGATGCCAATGCGGGTGGCGGTGGTGGTGCCAACAGCAACGCCTTCGACGGCTTTGGCGGCACTGGATTCTACGGACGTCAGCTTTAGACATTAACTCTCCTTTAAAAAAAACGCACCTTATCTTTCTTGTCACTCACAAAAAGCACGAGAATAAAAATGCATTTTGTTAACTTAAACCACTTTTTGAGCACCACGCTATTGGATTTTTTGTCGCAGCACCGACTTACACTTGTCTGCATATTTTTTTTATAAATTCATTTTAATTTTTTTAGGAGTTACATACACTCAGAAAAAAACACCACGCTTAAATCAAGTACAAACAGTCTTGATTTGCATAAGAACGATTTCATGCTTAACATTTAAACATTTAAATTCCATGGCGTTTCGATTTCGAGCGCCACGGCGCCTAGCGGACGGTAGTGGTACTACAAACTTTGCCAAAGCTTGTTTAACATAATAGGTCATAACAAGACATCGGATTTTATGTAAAAACGTATTTTAAGCGAGCAGTGCAGAATTTATTGGATTAAATACAATAAACAAATACAATGAACAAGCCTGAGAAAACTGCACCAGAAGATTTAGAAAACTGTAGGATTGGAATGGTAGATAAAAACCTAATAGAAATGAATTGCTTTTTTATATATTTTGAGCCAATGGTTTACGAATAATCTTTCGCAACATGAAAACGTATCATTTGATATATCTTCTGTTAGGTGGTTCTAAAAAATGTGTTTTAAGGCCGAATACATTTTATTTAGCCTACAAGATTGACAGCCAATATTTGGATTTTTACCATTCTTTTTAGGTTAATAAAATCGCGAATAACATTTTGAACATTTTTTTATGACTTACAAATTCTGACAACACATTTAATTTTTTATAGAACGTGAGGGGCAACACTGTTAAAAAACAAATTAAGAATTTTTTTATTATTTTATTACAGAATTGAAATTTAATTGTGGAGCTTATTCCAGTCGTATTAAAAATATTTGTAAGGATTTCCGCTGGTTTTACGATCTTAGACTTATATTGCCCATTATTTAATAAATATATGTTTTGTCTTCCTATTGATGCGTATCGATTTTATGTGTGCTCGAATTATATTGTGGCTATCGAAAACAAATTAATTTGAATTGTTTCGAGGCGTTACCTTTTTTATTTATTTACCTACATTAAAATATATTTTCAAATCAAGAACAAACAGTTTAAAACGAAATTGTTATGTTACATAAATTAGCTTCCATTCAATCATTACTAAACCACTTTGTAAAAAATGTTGGGGCAGCAATATTTGTAAAATTAATAAATAAACAACAAATCTTAGAAAATGCAAATGTCTTTCTTTAGAAAACTAAAAAAGTTTTTAAGAACAATTATTTTTAGGGTGACCCCTCCTGTTATAGCGGATACATCATCCCTAGCTAGTCGATACACCAACCTAGCATAGCGGGCACACCCTCCCAAGCCCCTATTTATTCTTCAACCGATCTGGCAGTATTCGAAGAAGCGCGCCAACAAGATGGCGCCTCGCAGACGGTATTCCTTTTTCGCCATCCGACGGTCACACCGCCGATTCGAACAGATCGGTTTTTTTGAGTGGACGAAACGGTTGTGAAAGCGGACGAGCGTAAAAGTCTGAGGAACCTGGAAAACACACAACACAGTTTTATTTTTTTTTGAAAGTGAGTGCACGCAAGGAAAACCGACACAAAGAATAAAGGATATAGAAAAACAACACAAATTGAGAATGGCGCTGCAAGAAAAGCCGCTGAAAAAGGAGTTCTTGTGGAAGGGATAACAGAAAGAAGAAGCAAAGAAACAAGGATTTTTCGAAAAGTGTATCTACCTCGAGTCGCGTGTGTGTGAGTGAGAAGGAGAGTGAAACAAGAGAGGGAGAGAGCAATACGCAAGCGTGCGGCGTCGGTTTGAATTTGAATTTCTGCTCGATCCTCACAAAAATAAAGAAAGAAATACACAGAAAAATAGCGTTTTTTTGGCATTTTTTTTAATGTTTCAAAACGGAAAATGTCGCCGTCGTCGGGAGAGTGCCTCCTCTTAGTTGATCAAATAAAGCTTTAAATCCTAAAGTTTAAAACTATACAAAAGAGAAGCAACCGCTTAGAAAAAAACATTTAAATTTAAAAAAATATCCTCAAAAATACATCCTCAAAGAGAGCCCAAAGAGGAGAGCCCAAAAAGAAACCGAAAAGAGGAAAGGAGCGCAGAGAAGAGGTGAAAAACTGGAAAAGTGGTTAACTGGAAAACTGGATTACAATGCAATCGCAGCGCAGCCGACGTCGCAGTCGCGCACCAAACACTTGGATTTGTTGTTGGATTAACAAAATGCACGCCGTTGCGTCGCTGCCGGCGTCGCTGCCTCTGCTGCTGCTGACGCTGGCGTTTGCGAATTTGCCAAACACCGTCCGCGGAACTGGTGAGTAAAGCGGAGACGCCGCTTAGAATGACGGGGACATAGCAAAAGTCGCGAGAAAACGGGGTGGGCGCACAAACAGAAATTCCAGGGCTCTAAAAAACGGTTTTGTACTCCCAAAACTTCTAAAAATCTAACCAATTTTAGGTATTACCTGGTTCTATATTGTATTATATTTATACAAAGGGGTTTAAGCCGATTCCCGGGCCTATACACCAAAAACATCTATAAATAGAGTCAACACTTCTTAGTTTTATATGGTATTTTTTGGTCGGATCCACTTCATGGTTACTTCTTTTAGTTTTTCCTAGACCCTAGTTTAAACCGACTCCAATATCTAAATAAAATTTCCTTCTAAAATACCTACATTATTGAAACCTACCGCTTAAAAATGAATACCAACTTTTCCAATTAATCGTTTTCTACGTTTAAGAACCTTTAGTCAGGGAATTTTATATTAAAAAAAAACAAATTAAAAAACTTCCTAAAAACTTCTATTTCTAATCTTTTAAAACTGGAACAACCGAATATACTTTTAACTTAAGGAATTTTAACTGCATTTCCTTACCACCAAAGCTTCGATCTTCAAAAAACAACTTACTTCCAATTGTATTACCTTTAACTGGCAACTTCTTATAATCCCATCTTAAACCATCCTTTTATTTTGTAAATTTGTTAATATTTGTACACTTAAAATGTTATTAAAGTTGTAGGAACAAGTTTGTTAAATATTCCTTCCCTATTCATTGACTGGTTTATTTTATAAAAATCTTTAAATTTGTTTACATTTTTCATATATATTTAGAAAACTATTTTTTAATTTGGTGATTCTAGTATTTTAATTTATTTGAAATAAACAAGATATAAAATCAGATCTTATAAACATAAAATTATATCATTTATGATCTTAACTTTAAGGATCTGCAGGGGAATTCGAATCTCAATTAATGCAGCTCTAAAACTTCTTGAAAATATGCCCTCCGTGTTTTTCCCGCTCCCCTTTCGCCCCCTCTTCATCCGACTCCCTTTTGCGCTGCTCCTTCGTTGCCTTCCTTTATGTGGCTTGTGTTCACCGCGCTTCCTTTTCGCTGTCTTCCTTCGCTTCGCTTTGTTGTCAGTTTTCGGACAGGTGGTCGTTTTTTTTCTCTCTCTGGTTTCTCTCGCTTCCTCCCTCTCTCTCTCTCTGGTACTCGTTCTTCCTCTTTTTCGCTCTCTGCTGACTGCGCATGCGCTCTCAGATTTGAAAACCCACCTTTTCGAAAAAAAAGACAAAACCGACCAAGTAAAATAATAAAAAATGACTGTTTTTACCGTCGGCAAAAGGCAAATTTTTCTTTGCCAGTACTTTTTCCTTTGTGTTTTTGCTGCGCTATTTGTTTTTCGAGTGGACAACTTCCTTTCCAACTTTTGGAAGTGAACCCTCCGCATGATATATGCCATATATGTACATATAGGGTTTTATTTGACAACTGGTATTTGGTTTGCTATTTGCATATGGAACGGCCGTTGTCTAATCATTGAGTAAATACCGGATCGGATCGGTTGTAGGTGTACTTAGGGTCGATTGCCTCAGTAAAATGTCAACTTTCCACGGAACTCGAAATCTTTTAAGCGGAATTCTGGGCTCAGCGCTGAGAAAGTGGGGAAATGCAGCTCAAGAAATGATAAACACATTTAAAACTAATACTAAAACTGAAAAACCCTTATATCATATTTAATATAATCGACACAAAATAAGAACCATTTGGTTTCTCGATTTCCAAATGCAATATATATACATTTATAATTTTATAATGGCTATGATGATATTTTTAAGATTTCTTCAGCACCTAGTAAAATAAATGAAAAATTTAAAAATATTATATTAGTAAGAAATACTTGATTCTATATAGTTTTATATTCTTGGGTCTTAAGATCCATTAATCAGTGCATCTGGTTTCCCAGTAATTAAATAATCGTTACCAAAATTCTATACAATATGGGAATTTCATTCTTACTCACTCAGTCTTTGTTTCTTCACAGCTGCAACTGAAGATCATTGAACTATTATGTTTATAACTTCTACCTAGGCATTTCCTGAGCTCGGGTTTCCGCCTCCTAAACTCTTTTTTTTCTGGGTTTATTAGCCATGGGCGATCGTGTGATCTTTGCGAGCGACAAAACATTTGCATTTCTCAGCTGCAAGAAATTAGCAAAAGGAAGTTGTAGTAAAAAGTAAATAAATGGACTAAAAAAACTATAAAATTAATTATCATATAGAGAGTTTTGCACGGAAGAAAAAATACCTTTGTAATAGTATTATAGGTGGTAGAAATTGAGTTAATCAAAATTACAATACAAAATATTTGATCATTGAGAAAAAATAACTGGTTTAAGCTTATTATTTCGGAGATCACAAGGAACCATAAGTAGACTTCCAAGTTTTTTGTTTGATAAACCTGACATCTTGCTAAAGGAATTCCTTTAGTAAAACAACTTGAGATTTATTTTCCCTTTTTTTATGCATATTAAGTTCTCACAAATTTACGCCCCATTTGCTCCAATCCAAGTTTGTTCAACTTTGTGCGATCGAACGCCTGCATTTAGCCACCAATTTAGGGTATTATTTTTTTGCAGGTTTAATGTGGCACGTAACGGTTTCGGGGACCAACAACCACCGCATTCGATTTCATCAT